GGCATTCCGATCGTTATCGTTTCTATTCGCGCAACCGGGCGCAATGTCCCCGGACCTTTGCGGACCGCTCGCGACATCGATACAACGCCGGCATAGTTGGCGCGGTTCGTCGAATTATCGCGATTTTCGATTAATCACCGGATCGTGCCGAAATTACCGAAGGTCCAGAAAGCGGGCAGGCACGCGGAGGTGAATAGCTGCAAAGGTCCGTGGGACGTGGCGGCCGGTACCAAGGTTCCGTGTCGATCCATTGTGCGCTCGTGTTCGCTCGAGTGCACGCGTGTATCCCTGGTATTTATGTCAGAGGGACAGGGACTAACGGTAATTCTAATCGAACGCTGTCCGAGGAAGTATCCTTCGTTCCAGTACAGCATTCCACCCCGTCCTCCGGCTCCACCGTTCGTTCCACCCTCCGAGATCCCTCGATTCCGATTTTTCTCGACGCTCGAGTCGTAAATTCGACAGCCATCGCGGAAGATTCTCGCGGAATACGCTCGTCGCGATCGTCGGGCTCGGAGTTTGTCGAGTCGGTAAAGACTGGGATATATTCGGGGATGGTTAAACGCGTGCTCGCGTGATCTCCGCGAGGAGCGCGCGCGCGGGGCTACGTTTCACGTAATGTAAGCCGCTGGTAATTGAAAGTTCGGCAAGTTTCCCGTACTCGCGGACTTGGCGGAGGCATCTGTCGTTCGGCGACGAGCTTCTTCCTGCTGGCCGAATCAGGCAATCGGAGTCTCGCGGCGTGTGTATGTAGGACAGCTGAAAAGTTGGGGCCGCAAAGTTGGGAGCTCGTGACGCTAATGCACGCGCGGTTCCAGTGGCTGCCCCGCAACACCGTTTACCGAAAAATCGAGAAGCGGAAAGGTCGAAGTTGTTCGAAGAGACATAAAACCCGCGCTTTGAACGGAGAGCGGAGACGAGGGCTCGCGATCGCGAGGTCTTTGCATAGTAATTAGCCGTTTACGTAGGCGCGCGGCGCCCACGAGCTTCTTTTGCACGTAATCAGACGCACCGGCCATTTGCTCGTTAGTCGTCTCGAAGTCGTTTCTCGGCCGCTTCGCGATTCGGCGTTCTGCATAAATCCGGTAATTAAGCGGAGCTTTCGTTAGCCGGCGCAACAACGCTCGATTATTTCGTTTCGTTCGAGACGCGGACGTATTAGCATAATCCGTGGAAATTATCTCGAAGGCGCGACACAGAGATCGGTCTGGTTTGGCCGATGGTTGCTCGGTATTATGCCGAAGCATGATTTCAGGCTAGACTTCAAAGGATCGTCTCGATGCGACGCGTCGGCGGGACGGTATGGTCGCTAGTTGGCTTGAAGGGTCGTCTGAGCACCGATGCCACTCGCCCAACAGACTTTATTATCTGAAAACTGAAACTCTCGTCCACTATCTTGCTCCTCTTCAACCTTTTCTTCTTCTTCCTTTGCTTCTTCTTTCGCCGCTCTCCCCTTTTCTTCGAAATATTCTCGCTCTTCCAGGCATTCAATGGCCGCTGCTTTAGCCGGGGATACTTTTCCGTTGCAAAAGTCCTCTCACGCTCGACGATTCGCGTACATCTCGTTAAAAATGAAAGAGCTCGACAGCTCCTTGGCGCCGTGATCGTCGTTTGCCTCGGGAGCTTACCGAGGCTCCCGATCGGCGCCATAAAGTCCTCTCCGCGCGCTCGAATCTCGCAGCCGTTCTTTTATTTCTTCCTACCCACGGTGGATCGTTAAAACATCTGTGCGAGGTATCCGAGCGCGGATCGATCGGCGAATATCTATAAAAGTTTCAACGAACGTTTCGATACGGAAATGGAAGCGCGAGCCTGACGCGATCGAGGAGGGCAGCAGACGTTGGGAATCGACGAAACGATAATTCGTCGCGAGCGTTACGGACGGGTATCGAGCGTTATTGTCGGCGTGGCGAGTTATCGGATTGGCTTGAACGAGCGTATCGATCGCCGGCTGCTGTACTCGAGGCAACGGGACGTCAACGTCCACGTCGATGTCTCTGTGCCGTCGTCGTCATTGTCTGGTCTCGGCCGGCGTCGCCTGAGCGCGGTTGACACACGGCCTGCGTACACAGGGCCCGTGATAAAGTAATCCGAATTAATTGGCCTCTAATTAATTAATGCAAATCACCGGCAACTCGCCTCGAGCCGGCAAACTAATGATCATTTACGTTACGGCCGAACACGCAACGTCGTGTTCTCGTTCCCTTGGTCCACTACTACCACCGTCGTCGCCGCCACTAGCACCAGCACCACCATTCGCCACCCTCGGCCGGCGTAACGACGAAAGAGGGGGTGAGACGACTCGAGGGCCACCCCGTTCCCCCAACGTGGCTCTACCACCACCGACAACCACGTTTTTCTCTTTTTAGGCTGCGGAAAATAGCGCACACGTACGTACGTACGTACGGAATGTTCGGTGGTTGGGCGAAAAGGATGCCGCTAGCACAGGGATGAGCGAGAGGGTGGTGGAAAGGGGTTGAGCTCTTGACATATTGCTACCTAGGCAACTCGACGAAGTGCTCTTCAGCCACCCCTCCCCCTGCCACCGCCTATCTTTCCTGCTTCGTTTCTCGCGCTCCTCGCCTCCCTGCCACCCCCTCGGCACCCTCTTTCTCTCTTCCTTCCTTTTTTTCGCCCGTGCACCCTTTCTCTTTCCTTTCTTCTTCGATGCACTCTCTGTTCCACGGGCCGGGCCGCCAGTCTGCAGCGAGGTTCGGTCGGCGTTGCAAGCACCTCGAAAAAAAAAACCCTCTTCTCGCAGATACACGCGCGCTCTCCGATCTCTTCGGTTCGTCGAACCAACCACTCGCGTACGCGCCCGAGAACCATGTCGAATCGCAAATTCCCCCGGAAACGCGTACCCCGGATGTTCGATCTGCACCCGTCGTGCCCTATCCCATCCGTCGACGTGCTCCATTCTAGTCGCTCGTAATCTCGCGCGCGATCGAACGATGCAGCTTCGCGGATCGCGCGGAACCTCGGTCCCCGCTCGGTGTGTAAGTGACGGATATTTTTAGCCCCCTTTTAATCCCTATGTTACCGTGCACCGAAAATCGCGTTGCAACGATGAAATAATTACGTTCGCCGCTCGGCAGCTCTGGAAAGCGTTCTCGACAAAGAGAACGGCTCCTTTCATCGGAAACTGTTCGCTTATTAAGCGGCGCCAGCAAGAAGGTAAAAATAAATTCACGTTTACCGGCCCGCTTTTAAAAACTGGGACGCCTGGCCGGCCGGGCAACGAAATATCGTCCATTGCTAAAGAGATCCGGTAAATTCTTCCCTGTTACCCGAACCTCCGCTCCGACGTCTGTTCGCGAAAATGGCAAACTTCTTAGTCCCCTCGCTTCGCGAAACTTCAACGGGGCTTTGACTTTTCGAACGGGATAGCTGCTGCGTCCCGTTCGACCGGTCCGGCAAATTATTCCATTCCCTGTGCACGTCAGAAAGAATATTCGAGCGTCAACCCCTGCAGCCGGATGGAAGGTACATTAAAGCATTATTTATGTAACAGGCTCCCGGCCCGTTAAGGCCGTCATTACCGGTTTTTACGTAATGCCACGCCGGCAGCGATGCGATTACGTTGTCCCGCGCGAAATTCTCGATTCGTCCTCGCGAAAATCGCCGCTCGTTACCACCCCGTCCCCGTCCCGGCTATTTATACCGCGTACGCGGGCCGAATTTGCACTCGCAGCCTCGTTACGCAAACGATTCGATGGTATAATGGCGGAGAACGTTGGTATAAGTCGCGACTCGCGAGGCGGAAATAGATCAAAGGATGATCGGGAGTTTCGGTGATGCAACTGGGTGACAGTCGCCGCTTTGTTCCGAGAAATTGCTTCTCTCTGCGCGCCGGTATTCTTGGAAAATAATCCGTTCGTTCCTCGTATCGTTGAAACGTCTAAAATTCGCGGAGATTAAAAGGGGAAACGTAATCGAATGTTTGCCTCCTTCCGAAAAATTCCACGAAGCTTTTCAGCGCAAGTGCTCGGTCGCTCGATTGCCTCTCGACGAGCAGAACAGCCGGAACGTCTCCGGAGCGGGGCGCAATCGCGGCTGATTCGCGTCGCCTAACAGGGGCAAACACGTTTTCATTTCGAGCGACGTCCTCGGGTCGCGGATTAGCGGAATATGGGCTCGCGGATCGGGATTGGATTCATCGAATAACGATAATGGACAACAATAATTGTGCAAACGCTCTGCGTGGCCGGCCGTGTATCGATTCATCGCGATATTCGCGCGTGAGCCGGTCGTCCCTGGACCGTTCTCTCGCTGATTCTGCGGGGCTCGTCGAAATTGGGAATAACCGGGAAAAAATTGCCGCCTCTTTCTCTCGTTTCATTCTCGCGTCAATGGAGCTAACTTTCATCGAGTTCTGCTACTCGTCGATCGAGTAGAACGATCGTCGATAGTTCGAGAGGCTCGCGAGGCACCGCGATGAAAGGGTCGAAGGGATCGTGCGAGAATCACGATCAGCACGATGCACGATCGTAGTAGAGTTTGAACCATCGGATCGGCGGAAAACTCGGTTTTAATCCCGTAACGACGTTCTTTACGACGTTCCAGCGGTCGTAATTCTAGGGAGCATCCCCGTGTCCTTGCGGCACGTTGCTCGCGCCATTATTGTTCGTACAATAATACGCGTGAATGGGCATGGAAAGTGTTATCGATGGGAACCGGCATGGGCATTGTTTTATGGTTTGCTTCTAAATGGTCCATCCATCACGCTTTATCTTGATGGAGTATTCTGCCCGCCTATTCATCCTTCAAAACGCTCCGCTACCGCCGCCACCGTCGCGCTAGCCCGCTAATTATTAGCCTTTCGTTCATTGTACGAGGCGGTGAATGGTCGTCGGCGAAGAATACGCTTTTCGTCTACCGAGGCGCTCGATTTCCCCTTTCCTCTCGCCGACTCCTTCAACGCGTACTTTCGCGACGTGTGCGTCTCTGAAGCTTCGATCCGCTCCGATTACTCGTGCAAGAAGGAAGAACGAGAGGACGCAGCGCGTCGGGGTATCGTTGGTTTATCAGCGCCGAGATGCTCCGATATCGTCGCGACGCGAGGCTGTGGTTCTGTAGGGTCTGACAGCTTGGATCTTTTCCGATAGTTTCCTCGTGCGCTGTACCCTGATCTAGCGTCGAATACGCTCGATTTAATTCAACTTTACGCGCGCTCCGCCATATTTGCACAAGAATTTCATCCGTGGCGATAGAGTCGAAGATTTCGTCGAAGGAGATTTGGTAATAATTTGGAAACGCGTGACAATCGTCGAAGTTTCTCGTCGTAGCTGGGCCCACTGGTACCTTCGGGTGTCGCGCGTACTCGCCACGCGAATCCGCTCGTTGTTGGCGCAGAGGAGGCGCGTTTTTAAGGGCTGGAAATCGAAGCTCACGTCGCCCGCTTACACGTTTCAATTAGCATCGTAACTGGTCGACTTCCTATAGATAATTTCCTATTAATATCCTCGCTACAAGCGGTGACCTGGATCGATCAGTTCCAGGACTACTCTTTCGCGTTGCTATGGATTATTTCAGTTACGATCGAACGGCCGACGAGATGGAAACCCCGTGGAAACCTCGTGGAAAGCCGACGACGAAGCTTTCGAAGCTTGCAGCGTTTCGATGACTCCGTCGCGGTGAAAGAAGGACAGCATGGAGATCGTGTAATCTCGTTTGATTGCAGGTAATATGGGTGTGCATTCTCTGTCGCAAGAAGCAAGAACTGCTGTCGAAGACCGGACAATGGATAACGAAGGCAGGCCTGGGTGCCGGGGACAACGCGATGCTGCGACGGATGCAAGACATGCAGGTGGGTGGTCCTCCGGGACTCGTGGACCAAACTCAGGATAAAAGACCGAAACTCGAGAGAGCGCACAGCGCGGCCGAAAAGGAGAATTTACCATTGTTACTAAGGAGCGGAAGTTTGCTCAGAAGACAGTACTCTCAGCAAGAGCAAGTACGATTTACTTCATTCACTTACTGTTCGACCGCAGGGATCAGCTCCCTGCGGTCATTAAATAGCGCTCGTGCACGCACTGTTGCTCTGGATGTAAAACAACAACAACAATATTTAAAAACTACAAAACAAGTACAACAACAATCGCAAAACACCTCGCTAAGTGAATTCGGTCGAAGCAAGACATTGCCATTGGTACATCTCACCATGTGTCGCTGTGCTCATTGTCACTGACCATCACTGCTCGTGTCTCTGGGCAATTTATCGAAACGTTGAACGAAAAGAAAAGGAAAAAAATGAAAATCGCGGATTCGATGCAGGATTATCGCCGTGTTGCGAGATAAATCGTCCAAAGACACGGGCAAAGCCGCATATTGTCACCACATGCTGATACGACCAAACAAGAACGTAACAATCGCACTGTATGCATCCACCACTGCAAACCACACGCGACGAATCCGACCCAGGCCGATTCCGGCACGAAAAAATGGCGGTTTTCTGCTGGCGATTACAGGGCCCAGGGCGTCGACTACCAACGAGCGATAGCGGTGTGGATATGTCGGTTTCGCCACACTCGAGAAGCCTGCCGACACCCCACGTAGCAGCAACGCATCAGGTGCAACAACCGCCGAGGCATCCGGACGCGTACGCGGAGGATGACCCGAATCTGTACAGAGGCGAGATCGACGGTCTTATGAAACAGCAGAACTACCAAAGACAGCGGCCCATCTACCCGGTGAGTGTGGGACCGTTCTCTCGATTGGTTCAGCCTGGATCGAACGTGCAATGTGCAATGACGTTAGACGCTCGAGAGAGACTTGGAAATTAAACATTCAACAAGTTATGCACCCTGTACAAGCTGCGAGCGCGTAAGAGCGGACGGTAACGATATTCTTACGTAGGCGGTGCTCGAGGGGATGCTCTCGACGAGCCAGCTATACGCCTAGATCCAGTGGAACGAAGTTATCGAAGGGAAACCGGAAAATTTCGATGTCTGCTTTATCCTGGCCTCTACCACTCGTCTCTGTGCTTGGCTGCCGTTACGAGCTGACTGTAATCGGGAAACGCGTGTCTATCAGATCCAGGATAAAGCATATTTCTCTTTCATCTTCATCCTCCATCTCTCTCCATCTCATCTCATCTCATGCAATCTTGCTTCTGCGCTATCTCTTACTTACTTCGATGCGAAACTTTACTTGGTCCGCGATATCTCGGTGTTTCCGGCGCTGTGCCCTCCTCCCCGTCTCTCAGACCCCGACGCTTCCTTTCGACTTGCAGGATCAGAACACGGATCTCGCGATGACATATGGTCAGCCAACGGTAGAAGCAGGTCCACCTCGAAGCGTGGTGCATCCTCCTCAGCAACACTCGGTGCATCAAACGCAGAGCGCGCACCCCCCGCAACCGGTGGGTGTTCAGGGTGGTCTTCAGCCTCAGAGAAGCTTCAGCAGCAGCGAGGAAGAACGAAGCACACCCGAGTGTGCTAGCGACGAACCTGACGAGTCCGAGAAGGGTGAGTCCATGCTCGATACTTGCTGTTTCTTCTTTACGTCGATAATCGAGTTCGACCACGAGAACGCGCTTTGGTTCCGCGTCGAGTACCGAACTCGTGACCGGTCACGAGTATCGAGGCAACGATTTTTCTTCGACTATTATGTCCTTCAAATACCGATACGATATTTTATCCGAGTGGACATGTCAACGATTTCAGAGTTCGAGTCCGAATGATTTCCCGAGAATCCGATGATCTCGAATGGCGATTCGCGGCGCGATTTAGGGAAACGCTTTGAACAAAGATTGAGCACGATGGCGCGCGCGCGGAGGAGGTGACATTTTACCAACGAGTCTCCGATAGAATCCACGATCATCGTACCGATTTCTTACAAATAACAGGTACAGCGATCGCTAGGAACGGGAAGAATCTCCGATAAAATCCACGATCATCGTACCGATTTCTTACAAATAACAGGTACAGCGATCGCTAGGAACGGGAAGGCTCGTATCGCTTATAGCTCGTACGTGGAATCCCGGTGACGGTGGGAATACGTTCGGGCAAGCCGTTTTGCTCGGACGCGTTGAAAGTTCATCGGCACGCGACTGCGATATTGGCCGTTACTCTTTCGAGATGTCACATCCTCGCGGCGCCAGTCGTATAATTCAGCAGCGGCGCGGTTAAACGTCAAATCCACCATCGAATTACCGTCAGAGGCTGGTGTAGAGGATCGGCTGCGACGGAGAGACATTAGAGAGGGTGAGCTGGTCGGGAGGGTCAGCTTTGCCCTTGAAACTCGCTGCACGAGGAGAGCACAGGCTTTCCGTGTCAGCGGATAATTGGTTTACGGAGAATGTGTGCACCTGTATCGCGATATTTACAGGCGAGCCGTCGAAGGAAAGTGTAATCGACCGATCCGATGCTCATGCAGTCTAAAAAGCTCCCCACGTACGTACGCGTGTTTACAAAGCGATTAACGCTGCACAGCCGGCCTGGCAAGAAGCAGCTCGTGTCCCGGTCGCGCGCGCCAGGCTAGCATTCGATCGTTTCCACCGCCTACGACCGTAGTTTTCCAGAACTCGCGAGATCCTCGAGGCAATTGGAACCGGTGAACCGGCGGGACGATCGCTACTCCCCGCGTTGGCCCGTTGGTCGAGACGCGGAAAACGGTGGAAAAGTATCATCGGGGCAAGAGCGAAACGTTGGAAATGGGAAAGTAGGTCTACTCCGGTGGCAGCCGGATCGGCACGAATGGAGTGGCAGATGAAAAGCGATACCGCATTATCGCGAAGGTGGTAGGCGCGCGGGTGGAAGAGTAGCCGGGTTCCTCCTTGGCTAACGAGTAAATTTAGGTTACCGATGCTGGAGATCCCCCGGCTCGGCTCGGCTCGGCTCGTTCCAGTGCACGCGTTCCCCCGTGTTCGCGAGAACACTCGACACCGGCGCTCGCTTTTATGCGACGCATTCGAGCTGCTTTCCAAGAGCGGACGCGCGCCAGTCGAGGGAAACAGAATACGCGTACGCGGCTCACAGTTGATTAGTGACGGGGATCGGTGAACTGTGAACCGATTCATCGAGGTGCGCATCATCGAGAGAGGGAAAGCCTCGCGTGGGCTAGAGCAGCAGCGTACCATTTCCCCTGGCATCGGTGTGTCCTCTTTCCCCTCTTTTCTCTCCTTTCTCTCTTTCCACGCTGCTCTCAGTTCCTGGCTGATATTCATTCTTTCCGGCGCGACGAGCCGATAGAAAAAAAATTTTCCACGGACCTTTTGCAAATTCGGGAAACAGTCTCGATGTATCTCTCGTCGTGGTCCGGACCGGTCTTCGATCGCTCGCGTTGCTAACTTCGACGTATTCCCGGGGAAGGACATTCCATGGAAATGCGAGGGTTAAGCCGGTTTCTCCACCCGCGAGCGGTATCAAGCGAAGAAATCCTTGTCGGTGAATTTTCTTCCAATTTTTCCAATCCTCTTCCCGGGTATCGAGTTGACCAGGGATACGCGCGGACTCCTGATCGGCATCCCAGCTATCCTCCTAGCCGTTAAATCCTTGATCGGATCTCTACGATCGTGTATCGCGGCATATCGTACGGTATCCTGCGGGAATTCTCGGGTTCTGCCCTCTCGGTCTCGTCGTTGCATTGATTCTTGGGTATCTTACACCCCGCCTAGTTTTCCCTCTCTTCCTGTTATATCTCTTCACCTTGCTCGTCTCCTTCGTCCCACCCTATACACCGCGCTCCACCCTTACAGCTTTTTACACTTTATTTCTCTTTATTTTATACTCTCTTCACGGGTCCCTGTCTTTAGCCCGTGGTGCTTCCGTGTCACCGTTGTTTCCGTGACTCGTATTGGTTACACGTATCAATTTTTTACTCCGGTTCTTGCCTCGTCTTCCTCGCTTTCCGTCGTCTCTTAACTCGTTTATCTAATGCATCCTCTGCGTCAATTAAATTACTCCGGCATCTCGTTTTCCGTCCTTCCCTTATCGGTTAACGAAACGTCGAACCACCCACCCCCTTCCTTCCACATCCGATGGAACACGGTGCACCACGGTCGATGACAAACAACGCGAAAGCTTTCCCTTCGACGTTCGCGCATCTCAATCGTCGTCTCCGCGAGTCTAGATCCAACCCCAAAGATCTCTACGCGTTCTTTGCAACGCGAAACACTTAATTACACCCTTTAAACCCTTCCATCTTCCCTATCGCTTTTCCGCCACTCTTCCTCGTTTCTACTTTTATCGTACCTGCCTCGCTTCTACCATTCTTTCCACCCTATCCTCCGATTCGCGCATCCCCCGTTTCTCCACGGAGCATTCTTTTTTCCGCATTCTCCCTCACCTCCATCCCCTACTACTACGCTCGCAGCCACCCTTCGCCCATCGCTCCTCTCGCTCGCTACGCCCACACGGTCGGCGTGACGTCACGCGGCCAACACGTGGGCGAATTCAAACATCTACCCCTCTGCTATTTCTGGACTGGCAGTCTTCGCAGCAAAGAGGAGCGGAAAGTACCGACGGCCGAAAACACCGTTCCCCTTTGAGGGTGCCCATTCACTCGCCGAACCCTTTTGGGGGATCGTTTCCGCGCTTCTGGACGAGCATTTTCGGCCGGGCCGTGCACGCTCCACGGTCGCATAAATGCGGCCTCCTGCTCGTACGTCGCGCGCATAGGTGATCCTTGCTTCAATAGATCCTCCACGGTGGTCGTGTTTACGCTTCTCGTCGCCCCGCTACTCAGCATCGATTTTACCCGAGGCCGGGGTGGAAAATTTGAGCAGCGGCGGAAGCGGATTCCGGATGAATATGGAACTGCAGTTTCTTCGGAAATCGGGGAAAAGGGTCGGGCGAATTTGTTACGGACCTTCGAAACTACCGTCTTGAATCTCTCCGGCGATAAAGCTGAAAATAGAACGGTGAATGCATAACGAAGGTTGCGTACCATGAAATTGTGCCAGTCCTTCCTTCTCGCATCTTTTTTTTCTTCCCCTTTTCCTCTATTTGCCTCTGCGCTCGCGAGTTTGTTAACCTTTCAATGGATTCGCTTCTGGCAGGCAGGTTACTTTGATATTTAATTCGACCCGAGGCGTCATGAAAAAATCGTGCACATCGGCGCCAGGAACGGGTGAGGTTCGCTGCGACTTTGGTATTAAACTCTCGTCTCTGCTCGACGGACTCGTGACATTTCTTCCTCGTCGCTCCGCGTCCCGGGGATCGGATGAAATTACGTCTACATTCGAAGATCGTCCGTAGAGCGTCACCTGAATCTCGCACCACGAGTTCCATTAGGGCATTAATTCCAGCGGAATAGACGCCTCGAGGAGGAGCCGTTCCCGAAATCGGCGATGTAACGCGTAGCGCGAAACGATCTTCGCTTCTGCGACACGAAGCTTTGGAATTTTGATAACGTGCCCCCTCTGGTCCGCTCTTTTCACCGTACCCCATTAATTTTTAAGCGAGTCCATTCGCAGCGAACCATAGGCAAGCCTATCGTTCGGGTAACCGGTATTGCTTTTCCAATAGCACGTCGAACGACTCTTTGTGCACGAACCTTTGGGACCCAAGAACCGCGCTGTCGAGACAACTCCCCGTGGCAGTTTCATCGAAATTTAATCCGAAGACATTGCAATTTGACGGTCGACTGGTCGAGAAGGCTCGGATTCGAGTTCCCTTTACAGGCCGCGGGTTCGTGACCCGACATTATCCTCCCCGGAAATGACTATCGGAATTGAAATTACTTTGTTTACCGATGGACCCGACAAACTTGGCCAATCTTAATCCCCTTTGCTCGGTAAACAACGCGAACGCGCGATTCCGAATTTCCTCGACGTATAAGCGATGCAGTTTTTCCTCGAAGGTGTCCTTAAGAACGGAGACCACGGTTGCTAGTAATTCGCGACAGCTTGGACCAAGTCAACGATTAACGACGATCGGAATAATTTCTCGGACCGCTTGCTTGGTTCGCTCTTAACGAAGCTAGATTAAAGGCTTACGAAACGCATATCGGTGGAGTTGGCGACGGTTGGGAACCGCGGCGGTATAATCGGACGGGCTACTACTTGCCGGTACACCTGCTCGCCGCATTCACGGGCACGCTGTTCGTGGACGATGGCTGCAACGGGGCGAAACATTCCGAGACCGTGCGCAGGGGAACGACACGACCCGACAGTAGTGCAGCTATGCGCTTGGTGCATACGCGCTGTGATGCGGACGGCCGGGCTAGCTGCTATGCGGAGATCGCGCTTATTAAAGACGCTGTCGCCGTGTATCGTGTTTAGAATTCCGCTATCTTTTCGTCCAGACGACGATCATGGTCGCGAGGATCGATGCAGCGGCTTGGTCCGCTGAATTATCTCCGTTTGCGTGTACACAGGGGAGAGAGAGAGAGAGGGAGGGCTAGAGTTTTCAGTGAAATGGGTCAACGGAGAATCGTACGAGCTGGGAGATGATTAAATTATATTTATAAAGGCGAAACGAAGTGGGCATCGGTAGGTCGATTACACGGTCGGAGAGGCGAGCCTGTGACGATGTAGTCGTAAGAAAAATCGAAAGGCGAATCGCGCGGAGACGGATTGGAAGGTACGGTTAAGGGGATCAGCTCGGCGATTAGCGAGCCGAAGGCTCGCACGTAGGCCCGTAGCGTTACGGGCTCGTTCGCCACGATTCTGTCTGCGAGAGAGAAAAGGAAAAGTGACCGGCGTCAGTCGGACGGCGTTGTTGCTCCCATTCGTAGATGCACACGATACAATTAGAGACTAGTGAAATTAGTTTGTAGAAGTTACGAGAGGTAAGTCCGTTTACGCGCGCGCGCTCGCATCTCGCAAGTTTCCCTTTAACGAAGGATTTGCAGAGGGGCGCAGAGAGCTGTGCTGCACGTCCATCGGATCCCAGGCGGACGAGGAGAAGGGAGAGGCGAAGGATAAATTGTCACGGCCACGCTTTGGCCTCTCATCGAGCCTGCTCCGCCTTTGATTACCTCTCTCCTTTGACAGTTTCCGCCCGGCCCGACACCCATCCACGTTTTCCGTTCACGCTAAAATTCTATTAAACAGATTTTAATTCGTTTTCAGGAGCAACCTGCGTTCCCGGAGAGAACTCCCGTAGATTAAAACCTCGTGTCCCCCTCGCGTCCTACGCGTTCCCCGTCCTCACGTCACACCACGCATCCCTCGTCACGGAGAGCTCCGACGTACAGTTTAATATACTTAATACAGGCACGAGTTATGAGTCACGATAACGCAAAGATCGACGACGACGACGACGACGACGAAGACGGCGACGACGATGACGACGACGTGGCGACGTTTCGTCGCGAATGGCTGCCAAATGAAAGGACGTTGGTAGCTGCGAAGCTGCAATTATCGTCGAGGTCTCCGACGGGATCGGTGGCGCGTCGATCTTGAGCTTTCCGTGCCGAGGAATTCGCTACCCCTCATTGGTCTCGTTCGTCGTTCAGATAAAGTACATTCGATGTTGCTTCCAAGTTTAGCGATTCTTCAGCGTAGGAGGATCGTGAACCAGATACGTCGGGAATACCACGGGGAACTGACTAGGGACCAGAGGTGCGGGGGTTCGATAGTCGGCGTCATCTAACTTTTAAATTAAGACCTCGCGTCATCGCGCGTCTCGTTAACGACCGTCCCCTATCCGCTCGCATCTTCGTCGCGCGTTTTCTATTTATCGACGGTGGGGTACGGTTTAACGGAAAATATCGCGTTTACAGGGATAACCGTGGATGCGTGACCATCCCGCCTACCTTGAGTCCGCTTTAAACACCCTTTGACACCCGGCCTGGTCGGCTCGTTTCCAACGGTACCAACGTTTCTTTGCGCGTAACACTTTGTAGCTGCCGCCGGGGCTGATTATGCAAAGGGATTCCCGCGTTTCGCGCGGAATACCGATTATCGCCACGCTCTCAGCCCTGAACCTTGCCGACCCGGCCGTCACGGGGGGCTGCTGCAAAGTGGGGCGCGTTTCGTTTCCGAGGGACGTCGAATTAGTCCAAGTGCACTTGCCAACTCGGTGACTAATCGCGGATTCGCATTGGGAAAGAAGGAAACGAAGATTCGCGTTTTACGAGCGCGTTATATCGTAAAAATCGAGACTCGGTGTATATACCTCGCGTGTAAATCCGCAGCAGCAGCGACAGAGATAGAAAATACGTCGTTTGGTTATATAAGGAGAGACGCCGGGCGCGTCTCGCGTGGCGATCGTATGGCCAATTTGCCAGTTTTATGATGCGTGATCCTTTACCTTATTTGCAGCGAGCGTGCACGACGAACGAGACGATCCACTCCTTCCTTCCGGCTGGATCCTCCTTTCAGAAACGATCCAGATCGAATTCTCGACGCCGCCGGGCCGTATCATAACGAAAACGACGACTTACTTCTTGCGTGTAGCGAGAAAACACCAGACTCTGCCTGCAATGTATTACGATTACCATTAGTTATACAGTGTTCGATTGTTAAACATAGAGCAGTTCTCATAGCAGTGACCAATCTTTGTTTCTTTTCTTTTCCCTCTCTGTTTGCATCGAACCGACTATATACATATATATATATATCTAGCGTATAGACACCCAGATTATTGTTCAGAGATTACCACCATTCTCACCCTGTGCGAACCACCAAACGTAGATGATACTCTCGTGAAACTACTATATTGTTATCCACTCTCGTTGAACATGCATCTACACACACGAATTTCTCCGGGGGGGTGTG